GTTATAAGAGCATAACTGGGCTAATATCTCAGAGTGCCAGTTTTTGGCCAGTAGGCCTCTTGGATGTTTTCCTTTCAGCATATCCTGACGAATCTCATAATTTCACAAATTTAATTTTTTAAGACATCACACTTCAGTACTCTACTGGCCAGGGCTGAATATGTGAAGGTGTTCTGGCTGAGTGGATAACACCGCCTACTTCAGATCTCTGAACTCTCTGTCTGGGTTCAAGCCTTAATTGTTTTTCTTAATTGAGAAACTTTGCTCCACTCCACTTCACCCAAGTGTATATGGGTACTGGCAATGTGCATCATAATCCCAAGGGGTTGGGGGGCTACTCCCATAAATGGACTATACAAGCGTGTGCTACTCAACAGGGTATGGTTTCTGACTCTGAAAAGGGTATAAAAATCACCCTTTACATCTGCAAAAGGGGTATATGCTATTTCAGTTTGACTCTGGAAAAGGGTTTTTTTTCCCATAGTCCCTAATTTTTCACAATCAACCTTAGGTGCAAACCCAAGTGGGGGAGGTACTCCCATGTAAGGTGAGATATATAGGTATGTCCTCATTTTTATCACTGAGCCAGCGACAGGAACATCATTCCTATTTTTGCAATAATATTATTTTCTGGAACAGGGTTGCAAATAAATCCCTCTTTTCTAGAACAGGTGCAGTGAGTCATAGACTCAGCAGCACACCTCCATAGTAGATTCAAAGGAGTACCCCACTCCGAGATGATAATAATGATTGACAAAACCTGGCAGCTAATCGCTGGCAAACATAAGCCTGGTTTCCAGATCATCAATCACTTGCCCAAATCTCTGCTACCAAGACAGACAAGCCCATGCAGGGACCACGGCTAGTAACAGGCTGATTTAGCAACAGAACGGGAACGTCAGTTGACGACGGTGTGCACAAATCAAACAATTGGCTTGACCGATGGCAGAATGCCAGCAAATTAGGCACCGGAAGTCAAGTTTAGTCCTTTCTGTGCGCTTTCCCGTCGTCAAATGACATTCCCGTTCTGTTGCTAAATCAGCCTAATAATGGAGCCTGCAGGCCTAAGGCCAGTGAAAATTTTGAAGTTTCTTGTGTATGGCTTACTTAAATGTATATGGCTAAAATTACTATGGTGATACTTCTTGTTTGTAAACATTGTTTTTTTTTTTTCAAATGTGCCAACCACAGACAAAAGAAACCATTGTTTCAAGGGCCAATGAGCCCCTGGTTGGCAACATTATAACAACAGGTGGCATGATGTGAAATATCGCCACACATTAAAATTTATTTGGCTACAGCTGTGCTGTCCATACTGTGTCGTCTAATACTATAACAGATACTCACCCCTTTGTCTGGGTTATTGAGGTACATGTCGACTAAAAACTGTTTCCTTTGGTTATTTACCACAGACTCAGACTCTTGATTTAAAAGAATGTTCCAAAAGGACTGACTTTCTAGTGTATCAATAATCACCTGACACATTTCCTTTCTGTTATTTTTCACAGCCACGTGAAGGGCATTATAGCGGAACCCTTCTTGTAAGATCACTGGTGTATCACCAGGACCAATCAAGTATCTAGGATTAATTAATACCATCTCCAGAAATTCGTCCCTTGAGCCCTTTTCAATAATTTTACGAAATTTGATCAACTCCTGTGGTGTTGGTCCTTTAAATTTGCTTACAGGATCTGCAGGAGAAGCTGACAAAGAATTCATTACAGCTAAAGAAGTTTCTTGTTCATTTGATCGCGATCGAGAAAAACATTCTGCTTCATCTCTGGTCTTGAAACCTTTGAAGCGAGCACCTTTGAATTTCTTCACTGTTTTTAGAGCTTCTTCTTTGCTTATAAACACGGCCGGAGCTGGTAATCCACTTTCAGAAGACGAACGAACCAAGTCACAACAGACACCATAAAAAACGGCAGGACTTTCCAAAGCTCTCGAAGTACAATTATCAGTAACAGCATTGGTCAACTTCGTACTTTCGTCAGCCAGTGCATCCGCACGTGTATTCCGATCTTCCCGAGTATTGTCAACAACATCGTAGCCACGAACTTTAGACAGCTTTTTCTCATATATCCTTCTGGTAGTTGGGCTAATCGGCCCAACTTTCAAACCTAAAGACTTAAGTTCATTCAATAACTCCCAATCAGATAAATCCTGAATGTCTTTTTTGCCCGCCATTTTGTTTGGAAGGGATGTAATTCAAACCCAGACTACTGCACGAGTAACTCGTGGACATCCTCGGGACGCGAAAGATCGTCACGCACGCAGCGTCGAGTGACGACCCTAGAAACGGCTGTGAACAGGCTCTCTGTTAGATAATGATGAGACTGATTCTCGTCCAGGGGGTACTCCCTTACTGATAAGCCATATAGGTATGTGCCACCACAAAGGGTATGGTTTTAACGCCGTTTTGGTCTGAAAACGGGTAATGGAATTTCCGGCGTTTGAGTGGATACGAATTAGCCGGAAATGAAATATTTCTTCGGCACGGGACTCCAGTGGGGACTGGGGCGGTTGAAGTGCAGTATGGGTAGCCGGAATGGAGCGCTATGAAACGGATGCTTATCAGGTGGGAAAGCATTCTAGGCGGACAACTCGTCTAGCTCACGTTATTTTTTGTTTATTTATTTATTTATTTATTTTTTTGGTATATATTTGATTTACTAGTGACAGTTCGAGTTTCGCAGGGGTTTCTTAGCTTGTTTGCGTTTCCTTAAATTATTTAGAGTTTGCCGTCCTTTGTTGGAATACTTGTTTTGAAAATAAGGGCAAAGACCTTCCAGCCGTGTAGCCTTCGTAGGATGGGCTTTTCAGAGCATGAGCCATGGATCCTACCCAGATTTCCTGCCGAGTTTTTTTCCCTACTGAGGTTTTTTCCGGCAGGTTTTTTCTGGCCTCTGTTCTGACAGTATTCTGTGTAAACTGTCGCTCAGCTCTGTTCTAGTTTTTCCACCACATATTTGAATGTAATAGAAGACTGTATAACGTATTGTTATATCTGCGGTGCTCGGCCGAAACAGCCAAAATAAACCTACTGGTTTGTATATTCATGTTGTACTGCGTAGTTGAGCAGAACTTAGACGTTGCCAGGAGACTATGGCTATTTTGGTTTGGAATGGGGTAGGGGTTTCGAGGAAATAACAGGTCGGAGTATATAAAGGTATTTATCGTTTCAATTCCGAATGTATAAGAATAAGCCGAGAAATACGCGAATTCAAAGTGTATTTTGTTGGCGTTCTAATAGGGAGCTTAAGCAGCGACAGTTTTTGAGCGACGCACGTCAACCGGAAGTGGCCTTTTTTCATTTTTTGACGGTGGTTTCGCGCAAGTTTTCAGTCAAATCGCCTCTATAACAGTAAAGAAGCTAAGGAATACAAATTTTATATCATCAAGGCATGTTAAGAGGGAAAATACCTCACTTCCGGTTGACGTGCGTCGCTCAAAAACGTCGCTGCTTAATCTCCCTAATGATAAACATAATTTCTCAGAAACCAGGTCTGAAAACGGGTGTGAAAACAGGGAAAAGCACCCTGAGGACCTGGTTGGTGTGAAAAATGACATTTTTTGGACTGAAATAGGGTCAAAATTTTGAGAACCGGACGGAACAGTCCTACCTAGAATTCTCATTTTTGCCATACTGATGCATTACAGTCAACCATGACCCGCGTCTACCTTTTTTGAGGTCTGGCGGAAAAGGTCCTTTTATTTCGAGGTAGTTAATGGTAATTTAGGCTAAGTAGGTTCTTAATTTTGATGAAGGAGATATAGTTGATGACTACCAGAAATCAGGCGCGGATCCACACCCGTTTCCACCGTTTCGCGAAAATCGGTCAGATTTTTCATAAATATAAATATTATTTAATGAGAAAACTTTCCAAGTTAAAATCTGGCCAATATCTGTCTGAATGACTCAGAAACCTAAAGGAAAGGAGACTTAAGGTATTTAAAATCCAAAAAATTTTTTAAGGGGGTGCATGCCCTTGGATCCCCCTAGAAACTTGCACCTTCGGCGCTCAGGTGAGAAATCGGTCAGTATTTATCCTAGATCCGCGCCTGGAAATAAAAAGAAATTTGAGTTTGGTCCTTAAATTGCTTAGCTGCCCCAAGGGGGCTCTTCCGCCATACATAAACTTTCTGCCAGCAGGTTCTTAACCCTTTCACTGCCAAACTTAGCCAAAAACAAACAACAAATACCACTTTGTGTAAGTACAGGCAGAGAGCTTTCATTTGAATGGTCACATCATAGGATTTCGTCCACAGACTCAAAAGTTACCAAATGTTACAAAACTCTATCAAGCATTCTGGCAGTGAAAGGGTTAAACCATTAGTTTTTTACTAGCTGGTGTCTACTGTATTTTGATAGTGTCTCGTAGACATCAAGCATTTTCTTCGAAATCTAAAGTATATACTGGGTTCGAGCGAAAGGCGTATTTCTACAATTGCCTGCTGTCCCAGTGAGAAGAAACGTTTACGGTCATCTCGCCACCAAGAAGTCTACTCGCAACCACATAATGACTCTGCAATAATTGACACTGTTTACTTACATGGGATTGTTACTTCTTCGTCAAGCCCAAATTTATGTTTATCGATTCTAATTGACATCTTCGCGTCGAACTTCTCTTCTTTAGACGTTTTATTTTTTTTGTGAATGACTACTTCTTTTGTAAGGCGACCTTAATACTGCTTATTTGCATCGCTCGAGAGGTGCGATTTGTTTAAAATCCAACAGCCTTTCTTATGAAAGTTGGTTAATATAATTGTCACTTAAACCTTACCTCCTTAAATTTCATTGTTAATTTAAAATAAAACAATTCTTTTTAGACTTTGTCCTTTCGATAGGTATTACGATGTGGCGATTTCGTTGGTGGCGAGGTGACCGGCCGGATACCAGAAGAACTCGGAGAGAGCGCGAGACGGTCAAACAGCTTTGGAACACAATTGTCATTAAAATAACAATAATTCACGTCCAGTGCGTTAAAAATAACTTTAAGCAGCCTTTCACGTTCTGTGGGCCCTCTCTCCTTATACGGAAACCGGTCGTTTCCATACAAACTCCGGTCCGATCCTTTCAGTGAAACTGCACAACCCTGACTAATTTCAGTCACTTCAAGTATATATAAGTTTTGGCATGAACACGAAAAACATTTCGAGCATGTTCTTTGTTTTTTAAGCCAAGTACATGAAACCTTTTATACCTCGACTGAAACAACTTGTATCGATCGCGAAACGATTTTGTATCGAAACGACCGTTGTATAACCCCATGGCCATTCAAGCATTCAGAAGGTCATTGATAGGAACCAGAGGAACGACAGGCTCAGACATCTGCGCCGTCTGAAACGCACTTACTTCGTTTTATAGCATTGTCACGGCGAATTAGAGGGTGGTCATGGGTCATTTGTTTCAAATGGCAAACCATGATGAGAGAACTTTTAAAGAAGGGATCCACCAGAAAACTGAGTAATTTCACAAACCTTGTACCAGAATAATTTAAAGAATATTGCATTCTTTTTTACATTTTTCAAGGGCTAAAGGTGTAATTAGTCATCTATAAGAACACCAAAGAAAATTGCTTAAAGGGAACCCGAGAAAATAAATGTCAAATTTCACAAAATGATATGTTACACATGAAATTTTTGAGAATTTTGCCTGTGTTTTCACAATTCTTGTGAAATTTGACGTTTATTTTCTCGGACTCCTGTGAGAAATTTTCTTTGGTGTTATTATAGATGATTAATTACATCTTTAGCCCTTGAAAAATGTAAAAAAAATGCCATGTTGTTTAAATTATTCTGGTACAAGGTTTTTGTCCACTGAAAATTTAAATTACTCAATTTCCTCATGGATTCTGTCTTAAACTACTGAAACCCAAGTGTCCCAAAAGTTCTCCCCATGACTGTGAGCTTCCCCGTCTACTCACACTTCCCAGGCCTCCCATCGCTAGTGTATTCCCTGTTGCTCGTGATATCTGGCTTCCCTTTTCCTTTGGGAATGAGATAAACCTAGCAGTGAACGTAGTTGGCTAAAAAAGCCAACGCGAAATGCTAGAAACGCGATTGCTTACAAAAAAAATGTCTGAAAGAAACGCTCTGCAAACGGGGTCCAGTTTCAGGTGTGCTAAAGCTGTGTCTGACTTTGTACTTACTGGTTTTTAATTTTTTACGGCAAAAATCCGTGTGATCAGAATTTTTGATCGTTTTTGTACGAGAAATAAAAAGCTGTGCTCCTAGCATGTTGACCGTCAGGTACTGCCTTTTTTTATCGATTACGGGTTAACTTCTACGCATTCGGGCCTCATTATACCACGAGCCCAGGGATCCTGAGGTCTGGAAACAAGTTCCCTTTCCTGTTAGAAATTAAAGTAATCGGCAAAAAAATCGTCTCCTCTGCAAAACGCTTCAATAAGAATTGGCCACGTCATGCAGTAAAGCTCTCACATTTCTAGAAACGTTCGGGACATCCGTTGAAGAAGATCGAAACGCTGAAAATGTTTTATCGACGCCCAACGCTTTAAATTCGAACAAAAATGGAAAAATCAATCGAGAGAGGTTAATCTGGCATGTGACAGCAGCATACATGCGATGAAGATTGAACTTGGCGACGAGATACAAAAACTTGTTAAGCAAATCTCAAATCTGAGCACTAAGTTATTAGCCGAACTAAAAGCTCTAAAAACCAGAACCAAGTCGACCGAAGACTCAGTAAACCACATTGTACAACAACTGGGTGAGATAAAAAACCAAGTTTGCGTTTCTGAGGAATCATTGATTTCTCATATGCATGACGCAAGTCGCCAAGATTCTCAATCACAAACAGAATCTAATGAGCGCGCGTTCGCCGAAGTTACAGCAAAACAACGTTGACTTGCAGACTCTCCATAGGACTGCAACTGAAGAAATCATAGCAGAGCCAAGGGATCAGACTTTCACCGTGAGTACGCACAACAGATTTGCAGTACTTGACCCTCAGTTTCCAGAGAGACAAACACAGGTGTTTAATGAACAATCTACACAACCTGTATCTCAACACAAAAATTGACGTTTCAATTACTGTCAGGCAATCTGAATTTACCTTTGAATCAGACCTTTTTCTTAAAGGAAAGCTTGAGCTTGAACTTTAAGCTAAAGAAATGTTAAGAGAAGAAGGTTGAAGTTTCTTCCCATCAAGCAATTTTCGGCCCTGACTGCTATATTTCCTTCTAGCAGCGTTTCGTACGATCTGGGAAACTTCGGGTTAGACTCGGCCGAACTTCGATTACCGGCGTGGCAGGAAGACCACACCTCACTACCCGAAAATAAATATTTCACATGGATAAACAAGAAGACGCTTTTAAAACGTACACTTCGACGTCGTGGAAAGACGGTCGTGGATTCTTTTCGATATCTATATAACAAAGCTTCAATTTGTTGCAAATGACCTTGTGGCTTAAACTTATATAGTCGCTTATTGGAAAATTACGTGTACACGGGCTTAAATACTTTCTTAAAATCTTATTTCCATATTTCATTGCAATTCTCTTCTCTCGTACATAGACAACAAATACACCTTTTCTCGTTTAGGATCCTGTTTGTTACTCCCCCTTTGAAACAAACTCACATTCTTTCCTTTATACCTCTTTAAACGAGAATTTGCACATTTTATATAACAATAAATTTTAGATGAATGTGGGGTATTTTGCCGGATACCCTTCCAAAAAAATGCCCGTACTTCTCTCTTTTTGTGTAAAAGACGTCTTAACCTCTTCACCGGAAGTCTGCTTGGTGCATGTCCGCGTCGCTGTAAGCCAATTGGATCATCATTTCCGTCATAAATAAATTGCGCATAATGAGATCTCAGTTCAACTTACTTTATTTCCTCTACAACAACAGTTTCCTAATGTACAGTTAACTCCACACGTTCTCCAGCAACGTAACCAACATCAGAACACTCCCTTACAAAACTTGCTGATAATGCACAATCTCCACACTGAGGATAATTCATGTACAACACTACAACACAAATTATTACATGAAAAACCATTAACACGCAATACAAAAACAAGAATGATAACACCTACTTTTCTAAACAAAACCAAAAGAAGAGCAAGGATAATGATTCCTATCACAACCTTTACGAAACGACGATAACTGCGTTTTTGTTCCTCTTGTTGACAAGCTATCGGTTGGTCTACACACAACACAAACGACTACACTTCTTTCTCTTTCGAATTACTCTTGCTGCAATCTTCCTCAATTGTCCAAATCTCTTCCATCTTAAACGTTGTACACATTCCTTTTCCAAGACCTTTCTCCATGTAACTTGTGTGATCTTCACTTTGTACAAACTGATGTCGTCTATTTAAGCATAATGTCTTTGACTGTCTCAATAGTTTCCTTTCCTCAGTAACTTTAAGTTCGCGGACCAGCCCATTCTAAAAACGCCTTATTTCCTTTTTTGCTGTGGGACTACCGCGAACAGTGTGTGTATTTGTATGTGAAGGCGCCATATATTACAACATACGTACTTCAACAAAATATTCACTCCTTCCTCTTCTTAAATAGTCACCAATTTCACCCAACCGCTTTCCAAATCACGCGGATCAAAAATATTCAACTCTTCCCTAATTGGCCTATCAATTTCGGCCCACCAATAAAAAAATACAATCAAAGAACGAGCAAATTCAGATAATCTCTCAGAAAAAATACCCTTCAAATTGCCTGTCTTTGATTGGGGGATTTAAATCCTCTGTTTATTATCTCTTCTCGCTACAGCTGCAATAACATAAACAAACCATTTGTGAGCTACACAATGCAAGTACATAGGAACTGAACGCTCTTCCCTTTTAGTAACAACTGACATTTCCAAATTTGTACTGGTAAATGTATTTACTCCTGTTAAAAACAATTTGTGCAAAATCACGTTTCACTAATGGCAAAACTCCACTTCCGGTTTCACTCAGTTTCCTTAAAGTCAATGAAAATATTTCCCTCGCGAAACATTAACTTGCCGTTCGTAACCGTTAAAAAAAATTAAACCCACAAGTCACCGATCTTTGACTTTTTTGGCTACAGTTTCGTCTCCCTTATCTTACGGGGCAAAGAGACAAACCCCACGCGAGCCAAAAATAGGCTTTCTTTCTTTCTCAGATAAACTTACCCCGGGTGCCAGAGGCTTTTCAAGCCGGTTTCCAGTTTCGGTTAAGTCTCAAAAAGTGGCCCGCTCGTGTCTTCGGCCTTCGGCCAAAGACGAGTCGGCCAGGCCGACGAAGCTCCTCGTCGCACGCGAGAAAAAAACCACTGGTACCCAGGGTAAGATAAACTATGTAAACAACTCGAGCTTACCTCGAGATATCTCAAACAACTTCGCTCTAACTTAAGCAAAAAACTCCAACTTAACGACATTCCTGAGAGTCGCAAATTCTTAATACTTCGCGCGTCGCCTCTGTCGCCATTCGAACTCATTTCGGTGTCACTACGTATACGTCAAAAACCCAAAACAAGAAGAAGTCACGAACTCCAGCATTAAAGCTATTTTTCACATTTCAAATGACCTTTAGTCGTAGTCGCGCAATCGTTAGAGCGGCTCAAATGATTTGACGAGTTACACGTGAGTTGGTTCAAACCCTAGCATATAAATAATATTAATAATCATTTCTACTTTATTTATTCCTCAAAATTATTTCTTTCCCTGAAAGAATACATCAAACAACTCAAAAATACCTCGAACTAATGCCGAAGCAACTTCGGGACATTCGGAAGTCCCGAAGTTGCAACTTTGGAACATTCCTAAGCTGCACGATCCTTATAACTTCGCGCTCCGCCGAAGAAATTATCTGCAACGTTTGCATAACCTAGCCCTCTGTCAGCCGTGTAAAGGTTCATGCGAAAGCTAGCTTTTTTTTTTTTTATCCTGAAGGATTTTAGAAGCGAACAATAAGGAACAAATAAAGACACGTGCGTATATTACCTAGAATCGCATAATTAAGTAAAATCTCCCATTCTGATTGGTTAACGAAGCGAGGTATTTAGTGTGGAATTGCGAGTTGAAAACGAGGCTAAGCGATATTGTTTCGCATCTACGTAACAACTATCGTCAAATTCTAACACAACAACATGCAAAAAAGGTTTTCTACAATGTCATTTTAAAATGTTTTCAAAACCATTCATTGTCCCTTTTTGAAGAGTTAAAATCAAACGAAAGCGTTTTTTAAAGTGAGCCGGAGGTTCTTCCTTGTTTTGAACTGAACTACAGATTCTCGAAGAGACATAAAACCTCTTTCTCTCGCGACAACGAAAAAACAAGAAAATCCTGTGAACACGCCCAGAAAATGGCAATCCAAAGTTCAACCAAACAAAACGGATAAGCGACAACGGAGGAAGTGCCGGGGTCGATTGTCCCATATACAGAAGAAGAAATAAATACCTTCAAAGAGGACATGGCCCCTGAAAACACGAAAAAGAGTACGCCGCCTGCAATCGTCCTGAATCGTGGTACTTAGAAAAGTACAAAACAGAGCTGAACTTGAACAGCATTTCTAAAACATTTCAAGGTACTTACCTTATGTCAATCGCGACGTTAAACATATTTCTGTGCTTTCGCTTGACACTTATTTCTTTCCGTTTTGCCGCCGAAGAGGTAAAAGGTGTAAATTATTTTCCTTCTCGAGCAAATGACCAATTTGAAAAAAGACGTTCTACATAAACGGCTTCTTTCAGTAAAATACCTCTATTTATCCTTACGATTAGTGTGAAGCTTGTTTACATGTAAAAAGTTTGAAAACAAATGTAAAAACAAGCACAAGGTACAAAAAAAGTTGTCGAAGGTTCAAACGTGTACGACTGACCTTGTTATTCGCTAACGCAATGACAGTTCTGACAGTTTTTTGAAAGGATAAAACAAAACGATATCGCACCTCTCGATCGCTTCGCACTCATCGCGCGATTCGTGCGATATCGGTTTTCGAAAAGATATTTGTAGTGATATTTGGCGGTTTTTCGAAATTGTTAGACGTAATTTCAAGCCGTTAGGCGAGTTTTGAACGTATCACGATTTATGCCAAATATCACGTCAGGGTTTGTAATTTTCACATGTAATTTTCCTAATTAAGCTGAAATACCACTGAACAAATTGCAGTAATTTCAAGTAGTATAAAACGTGGAATTCTTTAATTTTTCACCTTAACTATTTATTTCACCTTCTTACATCATCTTTATCACGTGACCAATATTACCCAAAATACCACAGCTTTCGCCTTCACTTCCGGGATTCCCTCAATCGCGATCGCCCAATAAATTTGTGCATCAAGGAAGCAACACCAGTTTAAAGAAATGGCAGAGTGTATGCAAGAAACTGAGAGCAATGTGGAGGATAAAAGAGACGACAACTCGACAGAGTTCACACCGATACCTTCAGAGTCTGAGTTTTCCGCCGTAATTTTTAACAGTGTTCCGCGGTGCTACCCTCCTGACAGAGAGATAGAATGTCGCTACACTATTAAGAGTTCTGTCAAACCCCACTCTCGGGACTGGATTGGGCTTTTCAAAGTTGGTTGGCAGTCCTCACGGGAATATTACACTTACGAATGGTCGCCAATGCTCGAGGTTCAAAATGGTAAAGCAATTCGTAATAGAGTCTTACTCCGTGAAAGGTATTTGCCTAAAGAAGATGACGAGTTTTACCAGTTCTGTTATGTTACTAATGCTGGCGATGTGAGAGGAGCTAGCGTTCCTTTCCAGATTAAAACCAAACCAGTGGAGCAGGAAGATTTGGAATGTTGCGAAGTTGAAGATGACGACGGATCGTCAATAATGCTCGTCAAAAACAAAACAGCGATGCTTGAAGAAGCACTTGCCCGAGCGCTGGAAGAGAATGCTGTTTTGATAGCATCGAAAGAAACGATAGAAGTCGATTTGTCTAATGCTAATGAAAAGCTTATCGGACTCGAGTCTCAAAGGGTTGAATTAACAACTGCGGTAAAAGTTGGAAAGAAGAGATTGGCCCAGCTAGAGTCAGTTTAGCACAGAAAAACCAGTTGTTGGAAGCAGAACAAAGCAGACGTAAGCAAGTCGAAAATAGGGCGAATAATTTGAAGACTCTGCAAGAAAATTCAGATAGGCGCATTGAGGAATTGATGATGTTAATGGCACAGCAACTTGAACAGACCTCTGAAGTTGAGAAAAACAAAGAGAAGTTAGTTGTTGAGAGAAAGCAGTATTTGGACACCATGACCGCTGATAGACAGATGATTGACAAGCAGCAGAATGAGATAAAAGCTAAGGAAGACGAGTTCAACTCGCTGAAAAATCGATTTATAGAGTTCAGAACCAAAGCCAGGGCTGAGTCTGATGATTTTGCCGAAAAACTGGAAAAGTTAACTACTGCAAATGGGAAATTACAAGAACAGCTGGCTCAAAGCATAGCAGAAAATAACATTCTCAAAAGAAACTTGGAGGAAGAGTCAGAGCGACTTACTAAGAAGGTCAGAGAAGCTCATTTAGAGCTCAGGAACAAAGATCAAGAAGTTCAGAAATTGCAGCAAGAAATTTCTAACTATGACTGCATTGTTACAGACTTGGAGAATTCCAAAGACAAAATTTTAAAGGATCCATTACTCGAGGCAGAGTTGTATGGTAAGAAAGTTGAAAAACTCCTAAATGAAGGTAAAGAGAAACAAGAGCTGGCATATCAGCTAGAGCAGGAACTGGAAGTTGTCAAAATTCAGCTGAACCAGGAGAGGGGAAAGACAACTGCTCTGGAAGAAGATTACGAGCCAGTAATCAGAGCACTGCAGGGCCAACTGGATGCAGCAAAAGCTTTGAACTAATCTTTGTGTTCACAGTCAGATCATAACTTAGCTAGTCTTCAAGGTCAAATACAGAAACAGTTATAGAAACGATCATGGAAATGGCTAAATGGAGAAAGTATGGTGTCTCAGAAAAATGGTGAGATTAATCAGGTATCATTTCAACAAAGCTAAAATATTGTGTTTTTTTCATGAAACCCTATGAAAGGATTCAGCTGAATTTTTACAAACTATGCAGTTGTCAAGGATTCTCAGAATGATAATTTTTAAGGAAATCTCTCAAGTTTTAGTCCAAAAACTGACAACAAGAATGTCTGTGTTAATATTGACTTTACCATCGTCAGGAATTTAACAGCTTTGGGTTAATGTTTTAAAATAGGAAAGTGATGTCGATAGTTGTAGGAGTTGGGTCATCAAAAAAATCTTGCCCCTCATATGCTGGAGTACATATACAACATGTGTGTACGACATGGCTGTCTTTTGACATGTTCTCTGCTTGGCATTCTTTGATCAGACTGTAATGTTTTTCAGTTGTTGGAGGAAGGGTGAAGTTTTTCCACAATGACTTGTGCATGATTCTTCAGTTTTTGTCTCATGATGTCATAGTCACTATTTGCACTCTTGGTGATTATTTCAGTATTCAATTCAATTCAATTCAATTCTTTATTCACACTATACAAGATATTTACATAAGTGTACATAGTAGGAAAATAAAGTAGCTACAAATAATAATTAACTAAAAGATATTAAGTTTATTTGTGTACGGTGTCCAAAGTAGCAAGAGCTTTCTTGTTGGACACCGTCATATTGGAATAATTGGCAGCAGTAAGGAGAGGAATAAAATCTCAAATAATATCAGTGATAAAACATATAAGTAAGGTCAGATTTGCTTGGTTAGAAGACAGGACTTCCATTCTTTCTTAAACTTATGATATGGCAGACACTTGAGACCAGGCGGTAGAGTCTCCCAGATTTTTGGAGCGGAGAATTTAAAGGATGTCTTAGCTAAGTTGGTGGATACTCTACTCTTGGCCTAAAATAGTTCAGATTACTGACAAATCTTGTATTATGGTTGTGTATACGCGATGCTGGAGTCAGGACATCAAGGAAAATTTCTGGAATGCTATCAGTCTCATTTCTCATTCTATGTATAAAGCAACATATTTTTAATTTATATATATTATCTAATTTAAGGATTGTTAGGAGTTTGAAATAGGGAGGAGCACTCTCTCTAGGATGTACAAAGAAGATGGTGTGGAGACATTTATTATGGCAACATGAACGATTGAATACAACCCTAAAATTTCACTTTTGCTTAGTTTACATAAAAGTGGCTCATTAGATTTTCCTATACACTTGCACACAGCTTACTCTAATATTATTAATCATTACCATTTGAAACTTATTTGACCAAATTTTAAGAGACAGGATTTTAGATAATCAATAATATAATGGTACTGTAATTATTAAATGTGTCACAAAATTCGTCTGTTCAACTTCCATTTTAAAGTTCTCATTATTTTAAAATACCTTAAAAGTGAAAACTTGCCAAATATCACAAAATTTTAATGAGTAGATTTTGAGAAATCATCTTCTGTGTACCATTGCTTTTTCGCCACCATGTTTGTTTGTCTAATTTAAAACACGCACCGTCACGCTAGTTACCGCTGACTGCCCGCAAAACTGTGTTCAGCCACCTTAAGCGGACACTAAGCCGGGTCCTGAAATTAACGTCTTATATTTCCCTTTATAACGAACCCCTATTCAGCACACACCTCTATTAAGCGGACGCAGACACTAAAATAAATTGTATTTGGCTAATGTCTATTGTTTCAAACCTCTATTATTAAGCGGACACCAGAATGAACTGACAAGGGTAGTATTGGATTACGTCCTTGAAATATGTACTGTAGTCACTTGTAAATAAAGATAAATCAATATATTTAGCTGTCAATAAACTGTAGATTAGACCGATATCCAGCCATATGATTGTCATCTGCAATCAAAGTTCACCTTATAGTCTTACACAAAGTACAGCACAGCTTCTTTAGTTTCCTTGACAACACAGAACCTTGTCACAGTACACACTAACCGTTGAATGTTTGAAAATCGTTACAAGCATTATGTAATTTTTACAAACCTCTATTAAGTGGAGACCCTATATTAAACGGACATTTGGGAAGGTCCTGAAGGTGTCCGCTTAATAGAGGTTTCACTGCACTGTATATCTTTTCCCTAGAATATGTTTACCCAAGAAAATAGTTTTTTTCTTACATCAAAATGATTTATTACTACATCAAGTCTTGTAGTCTGTCTTCAGATTAACTTCTAGTTACATAGAGGCCCGTGAATTTTCAATCTTGGACTCCTTGTTGTTTGAACTGGGACTCAGTGGTTCTGGACTTGGACTCATGATTTTTTGCTAGATGAGTCCAAGGACTCACCATATACTATTTGTAACAAAATCACTGAATGAGCAGGGCACTCAAGTACATATCTGAAGAGAACACCCAGGATGCAAGCCCCAGGTAGACACAGGGGCAGATCTAGGGGGAGGGTGCAGGGGGTGCGCACCCCCCCACCCCCCTGAGATGACCTGCGGTTTTCTAATACAACTGGTATTCTGCGGAAAAAAAAAACGATGTGGTTTATTGGTGTTGAAGTAGAGCAAGAGACGAGTGCACCCCCTGCTAAAAAAAATCCTGGATCCGCCCCTGTAGACACCACAGAAATTTAACCTTTTGACATCCAGGGATCTTCTTCTCACAAGCGTGGACTCCCAAGGGGGGTACTCGGGTGGGTTTTGAATGGTATGTGCTGCCAAGGTCTTCAAATTTGGTCCTCAGTGTTGACAAGATTTGCATTCAAAATGATACGGTAACCATATTTTAGAAATTGTCAATTTTCTATGAATTCCTGCCTCCTAGAGCACTCTCATTCTAAACATTTTGAACATAATTTTCAAACTATAATAGCTCATTCCAGGATATGTGTTAAATTAAATTCTTCGTTTTCACTGTCAAAACGGCACAAAAAATTAAGTTGGAAACCATCCAGTGGAAGAAGCCAAGAAAATGAAATGTTATAAAAGACTGAGATATAAACAATTTGTCCAAATCTCAGGTCTTTGTGGCCCACATTTTCTGAGTTATTTGCCAAAACATTTCACACACCTTTGTAGAGCTTTGTATGGAGATGCCATATTGGTGGACAGTTTCTGTCCACCAATATGGCTGCCGGAAATCAACAAAAACATCTGGAGTTCACTTTTTCTATAAAAGCTCTTCCTTTTCACTCAAGAGGTAGCATACATGCACACTGCCGAAAATCAAGAGGAGAGACTTTTTTCAATGAGACAGCATTCCTATTTTGGTGTCACGCACTGTGAAAACTCGGAAGTTCAAATTGCTGTATTTTCGAAATGAAACATGCTTCGGGGCTGGAAACTTGGACAAAGATTTATTTTCTATTTATCTTCAACCTAGTGTAAATACGATTTCACAAAACCTCGTATTGTTGACTTTGCAATCTGATGACGTCACTCTGAAAACCATCACTAGGATAACCCATTCTAGATCTGTAGTCCTAAACTCATGACCCCATTTGATGGCGTATCGCCATATAGGTATTTTCAGGAAGACCCACTTGGGGTGGAATGCTATTACAGGATTCTCTTTTGCAGATCAGTTGCTTCAACTGTTACCTGACTTACCATGGTATGTTAACAACTATAAATTACGTTCAGTCTTATTTGTGTGTTAATTGGCCTGGGCTGAATATGTGAAGGTTTTCTGGCTGAGTGGATAACAGCATGTACTTCAGTTCTCGACATCCAGTTTAAGCCTTCCTTTGCTTTTCTTAATAAGAAACTTTGCTCCACTCCACTTCACCCAAGTGTAAATTAGTATGGGGTTTTTCCCAAGCTATACGGCTATGATACATTATAAGAAAATTTTCCGTCGACCTCCTTTAATGTATCTATATGGGTACTGGCAATGTGCATAATAATCCCAGGGGGACAAGTATGTGCCACTCAACAGGGTATGATCTATGACTTTCTGGCTCTGAAACAGGCATAAAAATCATCCTTTACATCTGGCAAAGGAAAATGTGCTATTTCAGTTTGACTCTGGAACAGGTTGATTTTTTCCCCATAGTCCCTAGTTTTGCACAATCAAATGTAGGTCAAAACCCAGGCGGTCCGGGTACTCCCATGAATAGGCTAGATATAAAGGTATGTCCTCTTGTCATTTTATCACTGAGCCAGTACAGGAATATCATTCCTATTTTTGCAATAATATTATTTTCGGGAACAGAGCTGCGAATAATTCCCTTTTTTCTAGAACAGGTGGAGAGAGCCATAGACTCAGCAGCACACCCCCATAGTAGATTTAAGGGAGTACCCCACTCCCGAATGATAATTATGATTGACAAAACCTGACAGCTCATTGCTGGCAAACATAAGCCTGGTTTTTTGGACCATCAATTCCTTGCTCAAATCTCTGCTACCAAGACAGATAAGCCCATGCAGGAACCACGGCCAGTAATAATGGAGCCTGCAGGCCCAAGGTCTCAGAAAATTTTGAAGTTTCTTGTGTATGGCTTACAAAAATGTATATGGCCAAAATTACTATGGTGATATTTCTTGTTTGTAAACATTGTTTTTGTTTTTCAAATTTGCCAGCCACAAACAAAAGAAACCATAGTTTCCAGAGCCAATGAGCCCCTGGTTGGCAAAATTAATAACAACAGGTGGCATGACGCGAAATATTCCCACACATTAAAATTTGTTTGGCTATAGCCATGCTGTTCATACTGTGTCCTCTAATACTATAACAGATACTCACCCCTTTGTCTGGGTTATTGAGGTACCTGTCGACTACAAACTGTTTCCTTTGGTTATTTACCACAGACTCTTGGTTTAAAAGAATGTTCCAAAAGGACTGACTTTCTAGTGTATCAATAATCACCTGACACATTTCCTTTCTGTTATTTTTCACAGCCACGTGAAGGGCATTATAGCGGAACCCTTCTTGTAAGATCACTGGTGTATCACCAGGACCAATCAAGTATCTAGGATTAATTAATACCATCTCCAGAAATTCGTCCCTTGAGCCCTTTTCAATAATTTTACGAAATTTGATCAACTCCTGTGGTGTTGGTCCTTTAAATTTGCTTACAGGATCTGCAGGAGAAGCTGACAAAGAATTCATTACAGCTAAAGAAGTTTCTTGTTCATTTGATCGCGATCGAGAAAAACATTCTGCTTCATCTCTGGTCTTGAAACCTTTGAAGCGAGCACCTTTGAATTTCTTCACTGTTTTTAGAGCTTCTTCTTTGCTTATAAACACGGCCGGAGCTGGTAATCCACTTTCAGAAGACGAACAAACCAAGTCAAAACAGACACCATAAAAAACGGCAGGGCTTTCCAAAGCTCTCGCAGTACAATTATCAGTGACAGCATTGGTCAACTTCGTACTTTCGTCTGCAAGGACATCCGCACGTGTATTCAAATCTTCCCGAGTATTGTCAACAACATCGTAGCCACGAACTTTAGATAGCTTTTTTTCATATATCCTTCTGGTGGTTGGGCTAATCGGCCCAACTTTCAAACCTGAAGACTTAAGTTCATTCAATAACTCCCAATCAGATAAATCCTGAATGTCTTTTTTGCCCGCCATTTTGTTTGGAAGGGATGTAATTCAAACCCAGACTACTGCACGAGTAACTCGTGGACATCCTCGGGACGCGAAAGATCGTCACGCAGCGCGGCGCCCTAGCTGAATAGAAAGAGACTATAAATGTAGCCTGTGAACAGGCTCTCTGCTTGGGGAAAAAATTGCGTGGAAAAGGAGGGGAAAGTTCCCGCTCGACCAAAGGCCTGTTCACAGGCTACTATAAGTTGGCCTCTTACATAATGATGAGACTGATTCTCGTCCAGGGGGTACTCCCTTATATAAGCCATATAGATATGTGCCACCACAAGGGTATGGTTTTAGACGGGTATAGACTTTGCCAGGAGACTATGGCCATTTTGGTCTGGAATGGGGTATGGGTTTCGAGGAAATTACAGGTCTGAGTATATGAAGGTATTTATCGTTTCAATTCCATATGAATAAGAATAATCCGAGAAATACGCGAATTCAAAGTGTATTTTGTTAGCGTTCTGATCCAAGTAATGATAACATAATTTCTTAGAAACCAGGTTTGAAAACGGGTGTGAAAACGGAGAAAAGCGCCCTGAGGACCTGGTTGGTGTGAAAAATGACATTTTATGGACTGAAATAGGTTCAAGATTTGGAGAACCGGCCGGAACACTCCCACCAAGAATTTCCATTTTTGCCATACTGATGCATTACAGTGAATCTTGACCCACGTCTACATTTTTTGAGGTCTGGCAGAAAAGGTTCTTTTATTTCGGTGTAGTTAAGGGTAATTTAGGCTAAGTAGGTTCTTAATTCTGGTGAAGGAGATATGGTTGATGACTACCAGAAATAAAAAGAAACTTGAGTTTGGTCTTTAAATATATTCAGGGGGTACCCAACGAGGCTTTTTTTTCTAAATACATTAAAAACACATTTTAGACTATCCTGGCCAGAGTATCTTGAGATCTCTAGAAATGCATTCTAAGCGGCACTATAAAATTTGTATCTGTTCGATCACTAGGACAAATTGAGGAATTTCGAAATTACAAGGGCTTCAGCATTATTTTCCCAAAAAATTTAGATGCAATTCAACGTTTTACGAAAGTAAGAAATTTTCCTCTCTCTAACGCATTTTCGAGTCCGAAATAATCTCTAGTTTGATAAAGTAGTTTTCTTTGTAGGAATGGCGGTATGTAATACTTCTATTTGTAATTAATGTATGTTTATCGATTCTAATTGACACCTTCGCGTCGAACCTCTCATATCTAGCCGTTGTATTTTTTTGTGAATAATTGCTTCTTTTTAATAACGACCTTAATACTGCTTATTTTGCATCGCTCGAGAGGTGCGATTTGTTTAAAATCCAACAGCCTTTCTTATGAGAGTTGTTTTATATTGTCACTTGAACCTTACCTCCTTAAATTTCATTGTAAGGCGCAGATGATTCTGTCGTTCCTATTAATGACCTTCTGAATGCTTGAATGGCCATGGGGTTAGTCAACGTAGGTTTCGCTACAAAATCGTTTCGCGATCGATACAAGTTGTTTCAATCGAAGTGTAAAACGTTTCACGTACTTGGCTTAAAAACCCGACAAAGAACATGCTCGAAATGTTTTTCGTGTTCATAGTAAGGTTCGATAGGTATTACGATGTGGCGATTTCGTTGGTGGCGAGCTGACCGACCAGACACCAGAAGAACTCGGAGAGAGCGCGAAGAGAGAAGGGAAGAGGGTCAAATGGCTTTGGAACACAATTGTCATTAAACAGGAGCCCATCAAATGGAGCCTCCATCTCCCGTACAAGCCCTTGAGTAGCCTGCGTAGCTGGCGTTTCCAATCGAGTTATTGGGCGAAAGCATTTTTTTGCTCTCTTCCCAACTTTCTCGACGAACTCGCGAGGAAACGCTTGCTACGCAGGCTAGCCCTTGGAGTCAACCCTTTCCCGATTAAGGGACTGGTCAAAAAGTATAGGCGGGGGTGGGCCGGAGCAGAGAGGGGGTGGGTCGTGAGGTTTTGAGCCTTGTGCAAGGCGTGGGTCGTGCAATTTGCGGCTACCCTTAGGGGGTGGGTCACCCTATTTTATTACATAAATAAGCACTAACTACTAACAAGACAGTTGACCACACTTGTTATATAAAACACAGGCAGCTGGAATTAATCCACATATGTGAATGTTAACTTTTAACGTTGTCCTGGGGTACCAGGGCCTACTATTCTGAGACTTCTTGTGATTTTTTTTAAAGTTTTTTTTTTTTTTTTTTTCAATCCGACCGACCGACCGACCCAATATCAGGAAACGCATTCGACGGTAAACGAAGAGAAAAAAGGGGATGGCCTTAGAGGAAACCAAACATCCATGTTTTAACTAGGGGTTGGGTCATGCAATTTCCAACCTTGCTTTAGGGGTGGGTCAGTCATTTTTGTGCCGATAGGAGGGGGTGTGTCATGTGTTTTTTATCAACCACATTTCCAAATGCTCCGGCCCACCCCCCTCCCCCCCTATACTTTTTGACCAGTCCCTAAATTTATGATTAGATCGTTTCCCAGAGGAGACTTCGCGCGCCGACAGTGGGAAGAGCCAATCACAACAACGAAATGACAGTGCTATTGTACTTCATCAAACAGCAGGAAATACGGAGTTCGACTTCATCTAACTTTATTTTTTCACCTGACGGTATTGTGACATACGAGACTCACGGAAATGACACTTTTTGCGGGAAACAAGCCGTAAATCTACTAGGGAAAGGGTTGACTCAAGAAATTAATGGAGATGAAGGTTCCATTTGATGGGCTCCTGCATTGAAATAACAATAATTCACGTCCAACGCGATAAAAATAACTTTAAGCAGCCTTTTTACGTTCTATGGGGCCTCTCTCGATCTCTCCTTATACGGAAACCGATCGTTTCCATACAAACTACTTTCAGTGAAACTACACAACCCTGACTGATCATGATTTCATGCTTCAGGGGCACCCAACGGCAATTTTCGGAAAATGTCTGTTCGGAAGACGATTCGAGATCTAGAATTTTCGGAACATTTTGTAAAATTTCTTGCTTGCCTGCCTCTCCTAGTATTTTCGAATTACAGGATTTTGTACCCTTAAAAAGGCCACCTAGAATTTTCGGGAGCCTTTTCCTGGCTGAAATTTTCGAAAAGGTAAGTTTTGATCCCTATAATTTTTGGATCACTAGACTTTCAGCTAGGAAATCCGAACAGATGAAAAGTTTTTAGGGGATAAAAATATGCCTATATCTACCGTTTAAATACTAAAATACGTTCAACAATGCTATGTTAAGTGGTTTTGAACTATATCGTAGTTGGGTGTCCCTGATGCTTCAAGTATATATGAGCTTTGGCATGAACACGAAAGACATTTCGAGCATGTTCTTTGTTTTTTAAGCCAAGTACATGAAACCTTTTATACCTCGACTGAAACAACTTGTATCGATCGCGAAACGATTTTGTATCGAAACGACCGTTGACTAACCCCATGGCCATTCAAGCATTCATAAGGTCACTGATAGGAGCGACAGAATCATCTGCGCCGTCCGACACACACTTCCTCCGTTTTATAGCATTGTCACAGCGAATTGGAGGGTGGTCATTTGTTTCAAATGACAACCATAATGAAAGAACTTAAGACGAAATCCACCACAAAATTGAGTAATTTCAATTTTCAGTGGACAAAAACCTTGCCTGGCCAGAATAATTTAAACAACGTCGCATCCTTTTTTTGCATTTTTCAAGGGCTAAAGATGTAATTAGTCATCTGTAATAACACCAAAGAAAATTTCTTATGGGAGCCCGCGAAAATAAATGTCAAATTTCACAAAATGATATGTTACACATGAAATCTTTAAGAATTTTACCTGTATTTTCACAATTCTTGTGAAATTTGACATTCATTTTCTCGGACTCGCGTGAGAAATTTTCTTTGGTGTTCTTACAGATGACTAATTACATCTTTAGTCCTTGAAAAATGAAAAAAAAGAAGGCAGTATTCCATAACTTGTTCTGGTACAAGGTTTTTGTCCAATGAAAGTTAAAATTACTCAATTTCCTGATGGATTCTGTCTTAAACTGATGAAACCCAAGTGTCCCAAAAGTTCTCCCCATGACTGTGAGCTTCCCCCTCTACCCACACTTCCCAGACTTCCCATCGCTCGTGTATTCCCTGTTGCCCGTGATAGCTGGCTTCCCTTTCCCTTTGGGAATGAGATAAACCTAGCAGTGAACGTACTTGGCTAAAAAAGCCAACTACGCGAAATGCTAGAATCGCGATTCAGTGTTTAAAAAAAAATGTCTGAAAGAAACGCTCTGCAAACGGGGTCCAGTTTCAGGTGTGCTAAAGCTGTGTCTGACTTTGTACTTACTGGTTTTTAATTTTTTACGGCAAAAATCCGTGTGATCAGAATTTTTGATCGTTTTTGTACGAGAAATAAAAAGCTGTGCTCCTAGCATGTTGACCGTCAGGTACTGCCTTTTTTATCGATTACGGGTTAACTTCTACGCATTCGGGCCTTATACCACGAGCCCAGGGATCCCGAGGTCTGGAATTAAACAACAAGTTCCCTTTCCTGTCAGAAATTAAGTAATCGGCAAAAAAATCGTCTCCTCTTCAAAACGCTTCAATAAGAATTGCCCACGTCAGTAAAGCTCTCACATTTCCAGAACCGTTCGGGACATCCGTGCCCACGCTTAACCGCTTAAACAAGGTCACGACTGAATTTAACTTTGAATCAGAACTTTTTCTTAAAGGAAAGCTTCAGCTTGAACTTTAAGCCAGAGAAATATTAAAAGAAGAATGTTGAAGTTTGTTCCCATCAAGTAATATTCAATCCCCTGTCATATTTCCTTCTAGCATCGTTTCGTACGATCTGGGAAACTTCGGGTTATGCTCGGCCGAATTCGGCGTGGTGCGAAGAACAGACGTCACTGCCCGAAAATAAACATGGATAAATAACTCTGCAACGTTTGCATTACTTGGCCCTTTGTCAGACGTGTAAACCTTCATGCGATCTAGCTTTCGCTTTCAGTTTTTCCGGGATTCCCTCCGTCGCTATCGCCCAATAAATTTGTGAATCAAGGAAGCAACAAGCAACAGCAGTTTAAAGAAATGGCAGAATGTATGCAAGAAACTGAGAGCAATGTGGAGGATAAAATAGACGACAACTCGACAGAGTTCACACCGATACCTTCAGAGTCTGAGTTTTCCGCCGTAATTTTTAACAGTGTTCCGGAGTGCTACCCTCCTGACAGAGAGATAGAATGTCGCTACACTATTAAGAGTTCTGTCAAACCCCACTCTCGGGACTGGATTGGGCTTTTCAAAGTTGGTTGGCAGTCCTCGCGGGAATATTACACTTACGAATGGTCGCCAATGCTCGAGATTCAAATTGGCGAGCAGGGTAAAGCGATTCATAATAGAGTCTTATTCCGTGAAAGGTATTTGCCTAGGGCAGATGACGAGTTTTATCAGTTCTGTTATGTTACTAATGCTGGCGATGTGAGAGGAGCTAGCGTTCCTTTCCAGATTAAAACCAAACCAGTGGAGCAGGAAGATTTGGAATGTTGCGAAATTGAAGATGACGACGGATCGTCAATAATGCTCGTTAAAAACAAAACAGCGATGCTTGAAGAGTCACTTGCCCGAACGCTGGAAGAGAATACTGTTTTGAAAGCATCGAAAGAAACGATGGAAGTCGATCTGTCTAATGCTAATGAGAAGATTATGGAACTCGAGTCTCAAAAGGTTGAATTGACAACTGCGGTAAAAGCTGCAAAGAAGAGATTGGCCCAGCTAGAGTCAGTGGTAGCACAGAAAAACCAGTTGTTGGAAGCGGAACAAAGCAGACGTAAAGAGGTCGAAAGTACGGTGGATAATTTGAAGACTCTGCAAGAAAATTCAGATAGACGCATTGATGAATTGATGATGTTAATGGAGCAGCAACGTGCACAGACCTCTGAAGTTGAGAAAAACAAAGAGAAGTTAGTAGTTGAGAGAAAGCAGTATTTGGACACCATGACCGCTGATAGACAGATGATTGACAAGCAGCAGAATGAGATAAAAGCTAAGGAAGACGAGCTCAACTTACTGAAAAATCGATTTATAGAGTTCAGAACCAAAGCCAGGGCTGAATCTGATGATTTTGCCGAAAAACTGGAAAAGTTAACAACTGCAAATGGAAAATTTCAAGAACAACTTGCTCAAAGCATAGCAGAAAATAACATTCTCAAAAGAAACTTGGAGGAAGAGTCAGAGCGACTTACTAAGAAGGTCAGAGAAGCTCATTTGGAGCTCAGGAACAAAGATCAAGAAGTTCAGAAATTGCAGCAAGAAATTTCTAACTATGACTGTGTTGTTACAGACTTGGAGAATTCCAAAGAGGAAATTTTAAAGGATGCATCACGTGAGGCAGAGTTATATGGCAAGAAAATTGAAAAACTCCTAGATGAAGGTAAAGAGAAACAAGAGCTGGCATATCAGCTAGAACAGGAGCTGGAAGATGTCAAAAGTCAGCTGAACCAGGAGAGGGGAAAGACAACTGCTCTGGAAGAAGATTATGAGTCAGTTATCAGAGCACTGCAGGACCAACTGGATGCAGAGAAAGCTTTTAACCAATCTTTGTGTTCACAGTCAGATCGTAACTTGGCTAGTCTTCAAGGTCAAGTGCAGAAACAGCTAGAAACAAACATGGAAATGGCTAGTCAGTTGGATGCAAGAAAGGCTGAAATAAGGGCACTTTGCGATGAATTGGATGCCTGCAAGAGGCAGCTCTCTAAGTCACAAGGTGAAGCACAAAGCATTCTTGCTCGGTTCACTACCGCCGATGCTGAAGTCAAATCTCTGATGGTGGAGAAAGAGAATCTCCAGACAGCACTTACCGACACACAAGGAGCCAGTGCGCGGTCATCAAAGAATTCAAAAGCTTCCATGTATGCCCTTCAGACAGCCCATACCCATCTGGAAAAGAGTTACCTTAAAGTGAAGAAGGAACGGGATGAGTTATGGGAAAAGAGAAATGAACTAAAGAGGACCATTTCAGCATTACAAGGTGACCTCTCATCTGACGACCTCCGTCTCCAGATTGAGGAACTGAGAGCAAACAACGAGGACTTGCGTGTGCGCCTCAACATGGGAGCTGAGGCTTACAAGGTCAAATTCATTGAATGCCGTCAGCTGGAAGCCAAGTTGAGCAAGCTGAAGAGAACCTCCTCTGTGGAGTCATTGGAATCAAGCTCAGTGCAGGATATGCAGTCTGTGGTTGATAAGCTGCGGAAGGCCTTGGACGATGAAAAAAGAGCCCTGAGTGTGGAGAAAAGTATGGTGTCCCAGAAACATGATGAGATTAATCAGGTATCATTTCAACAAAGCTAAAATATTTTGTTTATTTTATGAAACCCTATAGAGGAGTCTGCTGATTTTTTACAAACTGTGCAGTTGTCAAGGGTTCTCAGAATGATAGTTTTTAAGGAACTCTCTCAAGTGATAGTCCAAAAATTACAAAAATTTTTGTGTTAATATTGACTTAACCATCGTCAGGAATTTGACAGCTTTGGGTTGATGTTTTAAAATAGGAAAGTGATGCCGATAGTTGTAGGAGTTGGCTCATCAATAAAATATCACCCCTAATATGCTGACTGTTTTAAAAATGATAAAGTATTGAGCTTGCGTTATTTTCATTGACATAAGTAATGTATATTGGGAAGAGAATTTCTGTTTAGATTGTTCTAAATCTGTGCTGACCCAATATAAAGTAGTCTCTAAATTGCTTCTGTTTTATTCTTTCCTGTATTAAACCTTGCTTTCTTTAATAATTATTGTACCACTTGTCAAGTTTTTAAGTCTCTTCAGGTATGCTCCTAAATCAAATTGCACTATTACTAGGAATATACATACAACATGGATGTACAACATGACTGTGTATTGACATATTCCCTGCTTGCCATTCTTTGATCAGGCTGTATTGTCAGTTTTTGAGGAAAGGGTGAAGTTTTACCACAATGACTTGTGCATGATTCTTCAGTTTTTGTCCTATGATGATGTCATGTCAATATTTGTACTCATCAAGGAAATCATGTGATTATTTCAGTAGAAACATGCCTTGTGTCTTTAATCCCATACTATTTCATGTACATGTGTCTGGTCATGAAAATATATATGTTTAGTATGATATGGAATTGATTACTAGCTACAGATACTATCTAATTCAAATTGTTAGAAAACTTTTCTGACACATTTTCAAACTTTGAAATTTGAAATCATGCCACCATTAAACTATTGAAATTAATGTTTGTCCCAGGCTTCATTCATAGAAATTTATACTAGTCAGCAAAAAGAATTAATGTTTCATCTGTCTTGGAACAGAGCCAGAGAAAGCAAATATGATAGAGCTATTCAATTTTGGGTTTAGTTATTAATGCACTTCCTTAAATTTTAAGTAAAATCACTGGAGTTCAGAAAGGAAAAAGAGTAAACAGAGAGAAAAATCCATTAGTTACAGCTCACTAACTTAGCCCAGCTCTCAAACCAGTTGAACTTCACTTCCTTGTTATGAATTATTATTGTTATTACTATTATTATTATTCATTAAGACATTGAAAACATTTTTCTATATATCTTTTCCCCAGAATACGTTTACCCAAGAAAAAGTTTTTTCTTAAATCAAAATGAATTTTTTTAATTTTTTTTTAATTTCGAACAATTTTTTAAAATTGAAATGAATTGTTTTAATCGAAACTAAGTGCTTTTTTATGGAAAGGAATTGTAAATGGTGCTTTGACTGAATAGTTTTTTTAAGCAAAAGTAATTTTAAATAGGATTTTATAGTTGGCTTTGTTATCAATACAAGAATTATTTATTTAAAAAAATTATTAGTAGTATTATTATAATTTAATGTTAATATTGATTTAAATTAATGTCAAGTCATTTTTAATTTAGACATATAACTAACAGTCAGAACACAATGTATTTAAAAAACCCATGAATTTTATTGGTTCGAGGTTTTAGGCAGGTTGTTCAATTTTATCCTCGGTGTAAATTTTATTTCCCTTTGTATCTAACTCATTACCATAATGTTGGCAGTAAGATGATATACTTCCATACCCAAAGAGGTTCAAGACATTTAGGAAAATAAAATTTAAACCTTAGTATACATTAAAATTAAAGCACAACATATGCATCAGCACATGATAAAAACTATACAATCAAAGATCTTGTTAGCGACCACCTCAGAAATGTGAAAAAGTGGTTGTAACTAGAGCTGGTCGCTTATGAGAATGAGCTCTCCTATAAAGCAATCACATGGCTAAACAACAGAGGGTGGTCACTTACAAGAACTTCAAAAAGTCGTAAATAATTCCTAAAAAACAAAAGAAATTTATGTTTAATAAGTGTCTTTATATCTGATATAGACTTGACTTAAATTTATGTCCAATTTATTTGACCAAAATAACCCTACATCTAAATATAAGTGTTGATTTATATGAATGAGACTGGTTGCTTATGAGAGCTTATGGGTAATTCCATAAGTGGTCACAGTCGCTTACGGGAGCAGTTGCTTGCAAGAGCTTTTCATTACAAAGTTTAAGTCACAGTTTAAATGGTGTTTCACAAAGGTGGTCATAATTAGAGCTGGTTGCTTATGAGTGTGGTCGCATGGAGAGCTTCAACTGTACTTTTGTTCTCTTTTGTGTGTTAACTTGAAAGTTTTGGTTTTGTAAACACCCATCCGTTGAATTGAATCACAGTACACTTGCCAAAAATGCTTGGCTTTTCCTTGAATTTTATTTGTTGGTTGAAGAAGATTACTTTTCTCTCTTTCAGCTTCAGTTGGAAATTTCTGAATTGAAAGAGAAAATGAAACATCTAGAGCATCAAGAGCTGCAGAAGATGGATAATGGTCCTAGCCAGCAGATGATAGAGGAGCTGCTGCAAAAGCTTTCATCCTTGGAGAGGGACCTAGAAGTTGAGAAAGGAGAAAAGGAGAGCATCATTCACGAAATAGTTAATCTGCAGGAGGTCTTGAAGAAGAAGGAAGAGGAGATACAAATATGTGAAGAAAATCTGAAAGCCACACAAGATGCACTTTCCAATGAACAAGCCGACAGAGAAGCTTTGGGTGAGCAGGCTAGGCAAAAATTGCAGGAACATGAGGAGAATGAGCATAAACTTGATCTAAAAGTTAAAGAGCTGACTAGAGAAGTGGAAAGATGGAAAAAGGAAGTGGATATGCATGTTGAGGCTGAGTCAAGGCTTATGGAAAACAGAAAAGAAGAGGAGTCCACACCCACACCAGCTGAGAAGCAGGAACCAAAAACAGAACAACACACTCCCTCAGGTACTTTTGCTTTAACCTTATTCAGTGGTGATAAAAAATCTAGACAAACCTTAAGGGCATTTTCCATTTGTTAGAATAACCCTGCCAGACCAGTCCAGTTGTAAACAGACTTCCACTTTTAATCTGTAATATCCAGCCAGATCAGTTTATACTTAACTTTTTAAACCCTAAGATCAGAATTTGAATTCTCATTTGTTGCCCCTATTCATTTCCTACAGAAGTAGTGGGGAGAAGTTGATAAAATATCAAGCAAATTTATCTTGTGTGATCATGTCTGTAATTCTCATGACCTCTCTCTCTGTTTTACAAAGCATTGATATTACAAGGAGAAATTTGATGCTGATCACTCTTAGGGCTTAAATGGTTAAATGGTACATGCTCTACAGTGATGGGTTTTAGGGAAAATCTTGAGAAAAGACTGGCATCGTACTTTCAAAGTGATCGGTCCAGCCGGCCCTTTCTGACTTTTGGAAAGTGCCCCAACATCAATCCAGACAAGTTACAAGCTGCAATTTTTTAGTCTGAAAACATACAACGAATATATATATATCTGTCTGGATTTTAAAAAAGGTACCTACAGAAATTTCAAGTGCGTTTTAACAATTTGACCCTTCAGGTGAATAAGAAGCAGTTGAAAGTCGCTAGTTAGGGCTTGTTCTTGGCAAAAGCAACATTTGTAACTAAATGGACTGCATTTAAAAGCACAGAAATAATGACCTTTCAGTCTCTCAAACTATGAGGCTCATAGCAAGATGCCCTACTAAAACAAACCTAGAATCCACCTTTCTTGACCCCAGAATTGGCTGTCTAAGACAAAATCACTTCAACTAAACACTCGCAAAGCTTTTTTATGCTTGTGCACAATATTCTTATAACACAAGCGCCACAACATACCTGAAATCTGTCTGTCAACAACTTCAGGAAATCACACAATTAACTACGTTCACAGCACTGATAAAACTATCCACAAAGAACCACGCACAATTTTTCCACACTTAATAAGGGCGAGATATCATCAAATTACTCTCTCTATATAACTCTCGCTTTCTCCACGTAAATCACCTCATGTAAACTTTGTTGACACAGTCAATTTATTCAAGATCCTGGATGTAGACGAGCCGTTTTGAAAGGGACACATGGATGCTGGCCTTCGAAACAAATTTTTACTCTGGTTTCTGGCCTGGTCAGAAATCAGCATCAATTTTGCTCTCACCAAATAGTTTTGACTCCTAAAAGCTACTTTTTGAGGCCAGAGACTCATCACCGCCCACATCAAAGCCGGCAATATGATGCCTTTCTGTCTCAAGCCTGAGATTAGTGCTTCACCCGTTTAGCCAAGATGAGATGAAATACGATAACATGTAACTGTTGGACGACGGCAGACTTTGCCAATCGTGAGACTTGTTCCTTAATAAGGCTTAATGATTCCTTTCAGAAAACTTTGCTGTAGGCAGCCAAAAAGAAATCTAGAAAATTAACCAACCGCGGAAAACAACTTCTATCATGCGTGCTGATTTCAAATAACATTGTGCTTTATGACAAGGAGGGAATTGTGGGAAATGATAGGTAGGGAAGATGTAAACAGCATATTAAACACATGTTTTTTGATCTACTGCAGCTTGTTAGGGGATTTTTGTGCTGAAAATATCATTAAAAAAAAAAGGAATGGTCAAGTACTGAACAAGCCTCAAATGAGACTTTTGCTAAAAATTCCTGGAGGTACCTTTTTGCAAATCCAGACAGATATTCATTTTATGTGTTGCTTAGCATTTTGTACACATGATAAAGTGAAGTAAAATTTTCTTTTTTAAAATGTCATATTGTGCAGTAGGTTTCTGGCAAATAACCTGTTGAAAATTACATTTTAAGGACAAACTGTATTTTTTGGAAATGTCAGAAGAAGGTAGGTTGATATTAGTTTTGTTTCAGTTTATTAAAATACAAAAGTAAGCCTGATTTTCAAATGTTTGTTACAGCAAAAGACTTGAGGAAGTGGAAGGATTTTCGATCAGTTTGGGCATTCACTTTTGGGTGCCAAAGTCATTTTAGCTCAATATAGAGTACTAAAGTGTGACGTCATAAAAATGAAATTTCTGAAATTATGGGATTTGTCAGGATATTCTGAAAGAACAATGTCCAAGAGGCCTACTTGCCAAAAATGAGCATTTCAGGGCAAATTGTCTCTGAGATCATAGCCCAGTTATACTCAGAAAACTCCATACAAACCCTTCTAATTTTTTTGGGGGTCGACCCCCAAAAAATTTAGATTGTATGGAGTTTTGTAAGCATAACTGGGCTTCGATCTCAGAGACAATTTGCCCCGAAATGCTCATTTTTGGCAAGTAGGCCTCTTGGACATTGTTCTTTCAGAATATCCTGACAAATCCCATAATTTCAGAAATTTCATTTTTATGACATCATCACTTTAGTACTCTATTTAGCCCTATAAATGTCAGTACAGTGTATGTGAAAATAGGCTGACACATCATGCCGAGTCATGAACACCAGCTTTAAGCCTGTTTGTATGATCAAATTGTTGTTGTCTACAGGTCAAAGATTTATGCCAGTTCGTGGAATACTTCCATTTTGGAATCGCCCCCCTCCAATCCCCCCTCAAGGTGCACAGCATCAGCCTTGGGTGTTGGTCCAGCACCCCCCGGGACCTACAAGTCCTTCTCATGTAGCTCCCTTGCAGCCCCAACCTGTTACGGTACAGCCCCTGCAGCCAAGTGCCCCGACACCGGAGCCCGAGGTACCACAATGCCCGGTCTGTAAGGCCCTTCTACCACCAAGTGTTGATAGAGATGAGCATGTTAATAGTCACTTTGATTGAGCTTTCTATTTCATGCAGTCCACTCAAAAATTGTTGTTTTATAACCTGTATAAATTGTTATTGTTTAGAATAGACAAGTAGAACAAAATTGCTTTGAGTTAAAAATTATATGCTTACATTTAAGGAGTTAGAGACAAGCAGTAGTTCAGTTTATGTTCCTGCTTTCCTTGATTTTAGAACAATCTGAAACTCTTTTCAAACAGGGTGCAGATCCATTTCTCTAACTTAATCAAACTTCTCCTTTTAACACCAATACTAAATCAAACAATAAGCTTGTGAAATTCAGGAAAGTCGGTTTTATGGTTTGCCATTCAGGCAAGTTGTTGCTAGCATGTACTAGCCCAAGAGTCTTTAAAGTAGCCCCAAAAAAATTTTGATGAGCAGCATTGATTACATACTTCTGTAATTTGAATTTCCCCAAAAACTTCACTTGCCCTTCGGGCAAGTCAAGAACAGGATTCACTGGCTCAGTTGCAAAATCGACTAGCCCCAGGCTATTGGACACGACTTTCTTTGCACGCTGGAGATTGAAGGAAATCATTTACAAAAATGTCTTGATCTACATGTATAAGCAAATTCTCCTTGCCAATACTTGAAGAAATGTATGGAGAATAGTGTAGAGGGTGTGCATGTAGATAGGCACATGTACATGTAGTGGTAAATGTCATGATTATAGACATGTTTAGATTAGAGACTTACATGTATATAATTTTGTAGCCTTTGGAATAATTATTCTAAATCGTTAAGGATAAAAACTCAATTGGTTTTAGTCAAATGACTATAAAGACTTACTTTAAAGTGTAAAGTTGTAGCAGACTAAAGATTCAAGACTTTTCTCACAAAGAAAGTCAGCAATGAAGCAGAAATGACCAGACAGTATTTACCTTGAAGTCTTCAAAGTTCAGGACAGGGTCATCATCAATTAATAATATTTGAAAAGAAAGGGAAATAGAAGTTACTGCTTTCATGTCATTCGGTTATTATCGTTTTCATTTTACAATGCGGTATTATTTTATTAGCTACTTGTTCAAAGTTATTGTCCATATAGACAGCTTCCCATTTGCACAATTTTTTCATTTTTTTATGCATTCATTATGACATTTTTCGTCCATCAATCATAGCATACAAGTACCAATAGTGCAAACATTAATGATTCAATCTATTAATCAGGTATTACCAGGATGTATTTAGTGACTGGTACAGTGTATAAGTCTCCTTTTGATTTTGGTTTAAATTTTATTTTGTTGTTCCCTTTACAATGTCCCAAATTTATGTCAAGGGAGGCCCATTTGATCACCTCTGATCTCCTTATATAATATTCGAAAGTGTTATAAGTACATTGTAGCTTTGTATGGGCCAAATTAACTTTCAAAATGTGTTGTTATACCTTTTCCCTTTTATCCGGGGAGTGTTATTATCTTTATTATTGATTTGCGTCAGTATATTAAAGGAATAAATCTAACTGTTAAGATAATGCAAAGATTGAAAAAAAGAGACTGATGAGTAACCAATCAAAACGTTGACATCCATCCACAATATCAAGATAGTTATCAACAGGGCTTTTTGCTAGTCTAAATCAAGGAAATCCTACACCTTTTAATGTTTTGGGCATAAAAGTTTCACAAAGAAGGTATTCAACATGATTCATAAGTTTTCAACATCAGTAACACACAAAAAATATTTACATGCTGTTGTAATCCCAAACAGCAGGGTCAATCTGTACATAGTTAGAGCAAATCTAATAGGTTCTAACATTACAGCGTCATACTGTAAAAATTAATCTTTCAGCATTTAACTTTAAAAAGTATGGTGGACAAGCCAGAACATATAGAATATAGTTTTTCATTGGTGGTGGTTGGGTGAGGGGTTTGGTTAACTTTGTTAAGTTGTACTGGATGTGATAACAGCTGGGATGGTTAGAGAAAGATAATGTTGTTTGGTACTGCTTTATATGGCAACCTTGATTAAAGTGGTTGTATATGCATGTAAACATTGGGATTTAAAAACTTCTCATGTGGTTTTACTTTATTTACTGTAAAACCTTAATATTATGAAGGGCCAAGAGACTGGCAAAATATCTTCAGTATAACAAGGCTTTGTTAAATCAGGTGTTTTTTGGTGTCACGGAAACCATTGTTGGTTTGCTTTTGTGTTGTGGTGTGGGTATTGCTTTCAGTCTTTTGTATTTCATCATTGGATGATTGCATGCATCCACAACACCAAGAAACTACCATCATTTTGAGGTTCTTTTCCATATGTTTTACTATTAGTGGGGCAAAGAATGTTGTTCATTGTTATCAAGGACTTTGTTATATAGATGTTTGTTGTATCGAGTTGCCAACATAGTTTTTGGCAACATTTTTTTTTTTGGTCCTTCATGTAAATATTTGGAATAACCCATTTTACAGTAATAAATGGAAACAAGGTTGGAGTTGACCTTGTTTTTTAGATACAAACAGATCTGCTTTCCTATGTAAATCATGTTGTTCTTATGCATAATTTCCATAAGAAAACAAAGGACAGTTTTATCAAAACAAGGTCAACCTCAGCCCCACATTCAAGGCTTAGTAACATCATGTTACATTATATGATTAAAAATAACTACATTTGATTACACTTTAACGAGTTCAAGCATAATCTCATAGATTCTTTTAATGAATTCATTTGAAATTAGAGAATTGTATGAGTAGAAATGCATATTTAATTTTGATATCAGTAACGACTTCAACTAATAGATTTTATTCTCAAATAATCAGTTCAACAGTAAAAAAAATGTAGCATCTTAAAAGGCATGCTTGACTGTAACAGCTGTATATCTTGCATTGGTAGAGGCAAGTATTTGGCAAGCTTTGGTAATTTTTCAACCTATACTAGTAGTTTGAGTATCAGGCGTTTCTGGGGGAAAGGGGGGAAGAGAGAAGCAAAAAACCTCCTCTCCCTAGTCCCCTTAGGAAGGCCTGATACTCAGGCCACCTATACTAGTGGCTATAATTATTTGAATATGCAAGTAGTAATATTCGCCAAACAGCAAAGTACATTGAATAATTATTACTCGGGGAAGATTTTTTGAAACTTATATTACAGCATAAATGTAGACTCTTCTTAGCTACTAGAAGGACTTATTTTGTTGGTGGTGTGGGATGTGAAGTTGAAGTGGGGAGGTACGGTAATGCATCAGACTTGCAATTTATTATGGAGGTTCCAGTTTTGAGTCCCACCTTAAACACTAGAAATGCTTGTAAATAGCCAACTGGTTGCCTTGTGCCGGATGTCGTGTGTCAGATTATTTGTTTGTGATAACTCAATTGGAGCTGCTTTAAACAAACTAGCGAGGGCAGCTAGCTGCGTTTCCAGTAAAATCATTTGGTTTTACATGTTACAGAGTAGAAAGGATTAGGAATGTGAAAATAGTGGAAGATAAGAGTAAAAGCGCTTTGTTCTATATCAGTACTATTAAAATATTTGCCTTGTTTGAAAATGAGTTTTGTCAGCAAATGTGATGTTGGTACTTTTTAATAGCAGTAATGCAGGGTTGATTACTTAGGTTATTATTTTTGTGTTTTTCACAGCAACCTTGTTATAACCTAAGCCGTTTTCAAGTGGGGGCGAAGATTCCTTGTTTGGCTTCTAAGATCCCCCTGTCCTTTAATTCTCACCTCCCCTCTTTCCAAAGTGGGTATGAAATTTGTTTTGTAATTAACTACCCTAACGTATTTGACTGGTCACCACAGGGATGTTTGCCTGTCCAATAATGTGTAAATGGGTTACTGTGTATCAGCAGAAGGATATAACCCACCAATATCAAAAACTGTTCAATCGAATATCTCGTAAGCGAACACCCACAATGCGAAAAATTGGTGGTCGTTTACAAGAACAGAACCACAGGGGGTCTCTTCCGACAAGAGGTCCGGACACTGCTATTTTATGGAAGATAGTTCATTGAATGCAATTTCTAAGTTGCAATGTGTAATTCCATGTCGTGGACAAAATTTTTTTTCATCTTTAAGTAGTAGTGTACATAGAGCGTAGATCAGACCATGCGTCCTGTGGTCGCTTACAAGACGTTAAAAACAATAGAACATTATTCTTCAGCCCCAAAACGTGGTCTCGGTCGCTTGCAGGAGGCAGGGCGGATCCTGTGGAGGACCCCCCTTTATTTTCGACTAAACTGAGGTCCGAAGGGCAGGAAAAAAGTTTTTTGAGACCCCTTCCCCCTCCATCTCCTCCCTCCCGCATCTGGATCCAACACTGGGAGGTGGTCGTTTATGGAAGGTTCCAACCGTGCGGCTTTGACGGAGAAAACTTTGAAGTTTTGGATAGTTGGTCGTTTATGGGAGGTGGGAGAACATGGAGGTTCGACTAAAGATTCTTCTGATGTGAAGTATATGAAAAATTCATATTTGAACTGCGGTAGTGGATGAAAGTGAAGAATGATCATCGCAGTAAAGATTATTAAGGATTAATTAAAGATTCTTCTGGTTATAAATTTCCTGGATTTACTATGTTCATTTCATCCATTATTTTTTCTTATTTATTTTATTTATTGATTGATTTATTTTTTTTGCCAAGTGGGCGGCAAAAGAAGACAAGTACTGTACTAAACCTTTTTATTCAGAATAGATCTGCACAATTTTTTTATATCATTTATTTCTTGATACTATACCCCAAAAAGGGAATGCAAGACAGTCTTGGATTCTGCATCCCATGTCGTGGATTCCGGATTCTAGGTACTGGATTACAGTCTTTGTCAGTTGAACTTAAGATTCCGGATACCAATTGTCAGTGGGACTCCAGATTCCTTGAGCCGTATTCCCGATTCCAAAGCGCAGGATTCTATATTTCACCACTCGAAATTCCTGGATGCCTGATTCCGGAATTTCCCGGATTCTGGAATCTGGATACCATTATGTCTATTATTACATGGAGCGAACCTTTATATTCGGTAGATCTGCGCAATTTTTGAATATCCTTCATTTCTTGATGCTATCAAACGAACGTAGTTAATCTATCTAAAGCGTTGATTAGAGTAGACGGGCCTTTTCTAGGCTATTGACAACGTGAAACGTGGTTAAGTGATTGTGTCCGTGCCATGTTTCTATGTTTTTCTAGACTACGAGCAGTCTCTCTTTTTACTTGGTCCGTCGAGCAAAACGCCCGAGACACGCAAATGGCCACGCGCGTGACTTAAGGCGCGAGACGGGAGAGGCATGAAAAAAGAGAGACTCTCTTTTCTCTTCTCGGGCTGCCGCCCTCGTTTCTCGCGTCTCGCGGCTTCGCCGCTCAACACTCGCGCGCGCATGCACTCCCCTTACTAAATCTGAAGAAAAAGAGAGACTGCTCGCAGTCTAATGTTTTTCCGCTCTTTTCACCTTTCTCCATAACTGTAAATTTGAAGCTACTATACTGTGTTAGCAATTTTAACTGACCAAGGGTTGATTTCCAGTGTCGCGTAATTTTTACGTGCGTGCGTGCGTGCGTGCGTAAAATTTTAGGTTCGCAAATGAAATAGAGGCAATGCATGAAAGGTCGCTCGTAAGCGTAAAAGTTGAACCTCGTTCAACTTCCCGTTTGAGCTCAGCACTTTTAATCTTGTCTCTATTTTATTGACGTGATTAAAATTTACGTGGGTTAACTTGCGTAGCCAAAAACGCGTCAGTGGAAATCAGCCTTAAGTCTTAAGCAGATCGTTAACTGATAGAGCAATAAACTTTATTATACTTTTTCGCAACTGCATAAGTTGCGCATTAAACTGAGATGATGTTCTCTGCATCTATCTCTTACCCAATCAGAATATACACATAGCCGGATTATCAAAGAACAAATTATAATAAATTCTCAGTGAAATATAGAGGGGCAAAATCAGAAATCTTATGGCCGATTAAAAAAGATCATTAAGAAATATATGCAGTATCACTTACAGTAGGAATTCCAAAACTTGCATCATTTCATTAGAATTCGGTAGAGTTTTAAGTGTAATATTAAGCGCCAAACAAAGTGTCAGTAATTTAATTGATAGGTAAAGTCGATGAGCTTGCTGAGATCTCCTGCTCATGTATACCTAAGAATACCGAATGTACCATATTAATTTTTACTATGATGGGCGTATAAATAAATAAAGTAAATTTCTTCATTCCGCAGCTCAAGTATATGAAATTCATACTTCATCTTAGTCCCGCGTATCAGTTACGAACCGATGTAATGAACAGCTTGCAAATGGCTTCCTAGCTTAATTGCATCGTTAGAGCCCTGTACCAGTATCGCAGAGATCAGGGCTCGAATCACAGCTAGTCCTCCCTTTTTTCTTCTTCGTCAGGCTCTCTTTTCGCCAGTTGCCGAAAAACGCCTTTTGAAGCTTCTGGTCACTGGTGGGTGTCTGCTTCAGGGGTGAATTGATTATGCACTTATCAGTAGCCATCCCGGGGGGTGACCCCAGGGAACCCCCGGGTCATTTATACAGTACAACGACGTTTGCAAATCCCCCTACCCAAAACCAAGATTGTTTAACAAAAACCTACTAACGCCCCTCCCATGGGAGCAAAGAAGTGTGTTCCGCCAAGTCGAAAGGTGCAATATTTCTAAAGAGTTCTATTTGCCATAATTAATTTTTTTATTTGTTATAATTATACATATAATTATTAATAATTAATTAAAAATAAGCAAAGAAGGCTATTCCACTTGTTTTCTACACATGATGAGGTTCAGGTAAGTCATGGAATGGAAAAGGAGAGAATATTCTTGTTTCCTAGTAATGAAGAACCAAGATTCCTTGAATATATTTTGAAATACTTTATATTATAAAATATTTATAGATATTTACAAATCCCACTGGTCTTCCCCTTGGGATCCTGCTTCGAAAGTGCAAAAGCCATCCAATCCCCCCATCCCGGGCTTAAAATAACCGAACAAAGTTAACAAATCGCGGGCCATGCCGGCGTATGTCCCCGGGAAACAGGATGAATAGCTGGCCGGAACAACAGCCAGCACAAACTCTGTCGGAGTTCGTTGGACTTTGAATTTATAAGAGAATGTATGAAATTGTAAATAAAATACGTCCTAAATACCACTGTTTGACAAAATAGAAATAAAAATGACTTAACTTGCCGTTTTTGTTTTGTCTTGAGTTCCTGTCTCTTCGCCCCTAGAGCCATTTGGAAGCCGTTTCATCGCCGTTTCATCGCCGCAAGGTTTTGAGTTGTACTAAAAGTAAGAAAAATGGGAAGCCTGGCCGGACTCTAACGCCGACCGTCCCAGCTCGAAGTTCCATAAATCCCAAACGCAGGAAATAGTACGACCGAGACCTAAGCTGTTTAAAAATTTTCTGGGGGAGCATGCCCACACACTCCTTAGTTTTGAGTGCAGTGCCTTTAACATGTTCTTCCTGTTCGAACACCTTCAAAATCTTACGCTACGTCCCTGCTATTAAAAAAAGGAGTCACATAACCAACAAACTGTGACTGAAATTAGTGTCTCTTCTGTATTGAAAGTACCTTCTCCAGCTGACTTAAGCATGTCATGATTGTGACATTTCCTTGCATTTGAAAGAACTGTAAATGTCTAGTAATGTCATATGACCCTTTCTTAGGTATCATCCTCCTTCCACGTATCTTCGATGAGAAAACGTTTTTCATTACATCATCCCTTCTTCAACCTTCAACCAATGCGTCTTGAGGTCATCATAAACGTTCGGTTCAAGCGGAGAATTTGCAACATACCATTTACATATTTGACACATTGATAAATCAATGTGGCTTCGAAACATTTTGTATTTTAGTCTCCATTTATATTTTTAAACTATTCATTATAAGCAGTGTTATTTTTGTCCAGATACTGAAGTTACTCTGCCAGTTGTTTAACAGTTTTGAAGTCCATAACATTGATATATTAAAGTTTGAGAAAATCAGTACACAGCATCATTATTAGACTTGCTACAAGTCGACCTCTTTGCAGCGGAGCGAGCCTTGTTTGGCCGCGAAGCGGCCGACCGCGAGCCACGACGGAAATCTCTGTGTCTCCTTTCCGGCCTTCCCGCATCGCTTCGCACCTTCCTTGTTTTTGAGCGTGTGTGCGTTTGATCATGAAAAATGCTAAAACTGTTTACTAGGAAGGGGAAAAAAGAGAAAAAAGAAACACACACTTTATCGCCAGGGTTCGAACTAGCCCTTCTACGCCAGCTGTTAGCTTCGCAGCCAAGGAAACAACATACAACATCCATTTGATCTCTGAATATTATGTCACGATCACGTAACCCGCCGTCTGAAAAAGAAACACTTCTCGCGTGGTTTCAAATACAAATATAGGTAAAAGGAAACTGTGCAAACATCTTTTGCAGAAAAAATTAAAGTAGAAGGGAGCGTGACCTTCCTTAACATCTTTTCTTCCTGGCCGACTTTCGCGATGTAGTCAGTCGGTGCTGCCGGCATGCACCCTGACTAATAAAGGCAAGAAGAATCTAATCGACAGTGAGAAGTCAAGGAGTCTTTTGTGGCTTTATCATGTATGTCGAGCCCGCAACATTAAAACAGCGGCTGCGTTTGCAAATTGATTGGCGCCAAAAAAGGGCGCACTTTTCAGTTTTATTTTCTTTGGGTCATTCTGCGTATATTACATTCCGCATAATTATGTCATTCCGCAAGCCATGCCACATGCCATTCCGCAAACTCATTCCACCTGTTACCTTCACCGGAAAACTTCGCGTCTAAAATTGAAGCGTGAGGTCTCTCGCACGGAAAAAAGGTTCAAGATTGCGTTAGGGAGCTTAAGCAACTACGGCTCGGTTCAGACGCCGCTCCACTCATGTGCCGAACCTAACTGAGGTATTAAGTACGGCAAAAGAGCGGCGTCTGAATCAGTTTGGTACGGCAATTTTAATTTGGTGCGGCAAAAACGTTAAGTTCGACAGGGTCTGTCGCATTATTCGACATTGGAGCGGCAGGTGATTCATACGGCGCTCTTCTCATGTGCCGAATCAAATGCATACATTATGATAATTTATAAATCTTTCCTACATGAAATAAAGATTAGGTTCGACACACGGTGCGCCGTCTGAATCAGATGTGGCGCCAATGTCGCTCCAAAGTCGAACCAAACTCAGTTAGGTTCGGCACATGAGTGGAGCGGTGTCTGAACCGGGCCTACGATGACGACGACGACAACTGCACGACTACGGAGTGAAACCTCCTAATTTGACGTTTTATGGAGGACGTGGACATACGACGACGAATTTTCCTTTCTCTTTTTGAACCTCAATAAAATCCTTAAGAATTCAACTACAGGAAAAGTCGCCTGCATTTGACATATTGAGCGGGTCCAAATGGACGCGATTAAGTTTGAAAGAACTCAAATTCATTTTTTAGCGACGTTTTCACTGCCGTCGTTGCTTAAGGTCCCCTATGTTTTCGGGTCGTCGACGACCTTCCAGAGAAGAAGGGAATGGATTTGTGAAAGCGGATGTCAAGTAAGTGGTCGTTTACATGTATTTGTGGGATTTTTTTGCCCTTAAACCCCTCCGCGACTACATTTTATGCTCGGTCTGCATTTTTCCCACAGTCTGCAGTCCTCATTCTGCATTTTGCACCCAGCCTGCGTTTTACTCTAAGTCTGCAGTCTGCCTTTTACACTCCGTCTGCATTTTACCCCTGGTCCGCTGTCCGCGGTCCGCAGTCCGCAGTCCGCAGTCCCCAGTCCGCAGTCTTCCTTTACAGTGAGCGGTTTGCATATGCAACCGTCTGGCTCCAGTGCTCTTTCAAAGCTATCGTTTAAAATGGCGACAACATGGGCAAAATATTTTTTCTTTTTCTCCTCTGGACTCGCCATTTTCTTTCTTGTCGTGGTTACTTTAATCGACATCCAACGAGGTAGGTTTTCAAAGCAAACTGTAAAATCCTGGATGCAAAACCATACACATTCGGCGCTTGGAAACAACTTACACGCGGTTATAAACAAGAATCCAACGTCTACCATAACCAACTCACAGCTCACGCAACCGGGAGGGACAAAGACCCTTTTACTCATCTATACCTTATTTTTCGGGACGGCGAAGTGGATAAGAGATCGTGATGATAACTGTAGATTTGAAAACAAGTTTTTATTTGCCGCAAATAAATGTCTCTCAGGTGATTTCGAATTGACCTACGACAAACAGCGGTTTGAGGAAAGCGACTTAGTCGTGTTTCACGCTAGAGACATGCCAAGTGTAGATCATCTAAGAACGCTGCTGAAAAACAGGTCCACTTCACAGCGCTGGGTATATGCTTTGTGGGAAAGTCCAAATGCAACACCAAATCCTGCTCCATTAAACGGGCTGTTTAACTCAACGTGGACTTACAGAAGCGATTCAGACTTCTGGTCGCCATATGGAAGTTACGAGGAACTGACTGAAGAAGAAAAATTGAATAAAGTAAGAAACATACCAGACTATTCCCAAGGAAAAACTGAACTTGTGGCTTGGATGGTTGGTAATTGTGGCGCTCAACCTCGAATGGCATTTGTCCAAAACCTGAAAAAATACATCAAGGTTGATGTATTTGGAAGGTGTTCAGGAAAATTTGGGCAACAGAGAGGTTGTGGAAATCTAACTGCTTGCCTTAAAACGTTTAAGTTTTATCTGGCATTCGAGAACGCTTTATGTGAGGATTACATCACTGAAAAATATTCGGGAAGGCTTGGTAAGACCCTCAAGTTTCTTCTTGCATACACAAAGAGTGCATTGCATGGGCTTATTCATACTTAAGCAACGTCGACGGCGACAGTGACGGCAACGAGAATTGCAAACGCGGAAGACAAACAACTTTGCACATCACGCTATTTGTATACAGTCGAAGCTTTCGTAAGCGACCACCTCGGGAATTCGAAAGCTTAAAAACAAAGGAAAAGTCCGGTTAGGTAATCCCAAAAATGATCGCGGTCACTTACGGGAACGGTCGCTTACCAGAGCTTTTCATTACAAAGTTTAAGGCCCGGTTCAGATGCCGAACTTTTCATGAGCCGAACCTAATACA